AAGATCTTCAGATGATGTGCTGTTGCAGGTTTTTCTGCAGCTGAAAAAAGCAATTGCGCCACTGGAATCAATGAAGTTGCCCCGGAGCGACAATAAATTTTTGTTGTTGTTTTATAATTTCATGAGTACAACACTATAATATTCACGCCTTTCTTCGAGACTGAAAAAGTTATGCTTTTGTAGCAATTCAGAGTGGGTTGTTCCTATTGGAGGATGAATGCCAACAGTTTTTAGACTTAGCATCCTAATTGCTTCTATTCTATCTATATAATATTGATATCATAACAAAATGTTTTAGGAAAGAAAGTTTCCCTCGTTCCTTTTTTTGTATCAATATGGAGTAGTAGAAAGCAAAAACTTTCTTTACCAAAAATTAATCACTCCTAAAAATATAACCCCTTCAATTCAAATGAGATTCCTCATGGCTGGGATTAAATCAAATAGGTGAATGAATGTCATTACGATGTCATCGATGACATAAGCAGATCAAGCTTATTCCATGACAATAAAAAATTGTAATTCATGAATGAATTGTGTGTATTTTCTATAATGTTATCCAATTTGGTACTGAAGAAAGAAGCGTGCTGTTCTGTTTAGTTATGTTCCGAGACATTATGTGACATATGACATTTTGTGCACCTAACCTATCTTCCTCTATATAAATAAATAACAAAACAACTGTTGTTTATGTGGCTTGTGGAGGTGGTATTGAACTATAATTTATATTTTGCCTTAATTTGACACTATTGACATGATTCTTCTTCTTCTAGCATACTAGTAACCTGAACTCCGATCTAACATTTTAGGCGCTGTTGCCAATATATGAATTAGAATCAAATCCCTTCAAAAATCAAAACACAACATTTGAAACATCAATTTGAATAATTTTTGAAGTGAATTTGAAAAACTCATGAATTGAACTTCAACTTTATTTTGTTCAAACTTGCATTTGCTGTTATAACCCAAATCGAGGAACATTCCCCATTGTCGAATTACTATTTGAGTAGTTACTAAGAATTTCAAAAACTACACCTCACGTGAGGTGTAGTTTTTGAAATTACTATGGATCATCATCAAGTAACAGCCAAATCAATCAGGGAAAAAAAAGTTACTGAAGTTGATGAACAAAGCCGGTTTCATTACACCGGAAATTCAACTAACAGACGCAATGAAGTACTTTCGTATAACGCTTTCGCGTAACGCTTTTCGTAACGCAATTGGTCAAGTATCGACCGTTTTTCGTGCGTTTTCGACCGTTTGCTAAGCGCAATTGGTCAAGTATGTGACGGTTACGCACGAAAACGGTCGAAAACACACGAAAAACGGTCGATACTTGACCAACTGCGTCACGAAAGTGCTACGCGAAAGCGTTATACGAAAAACGTCACGCGAAAAAACGTTACACGAAATCGTTATACGAAAGTACTTAATTGCGTCTGTTAGTTAAATTTCCGGTGTAATGAAACCGGCTTTGTTCATCTACTTACTGAGAATGTCGGCATATCGATTGACTCATGTCATGTAATTTTTTCGGAAATTTTGGGCATGAAACATGTGGCAAAGTTCGTTTCAAAATTACTGAATTTTGACCAAAAAAACCGCCTCATCAGTCTCCAGCATCGCTCAGGAATTGTTGAATGACGTCAACGGCGTCAGTTTTGTTTGAAAATGGTCACAACTGGTGACGAATCATGGGTATACGGTTATTTGTTCCAATGAAAGAGTCTACGAGAGTCAATACCAAAAAAAGCACGCCATTTTCGATCAAATGTCAAGGGCTTGCTCACTGTTTTCTTTGATTACTATGGCATAGTACATTAGCAGTTCTTGTCACATGGTCATACGGTCAATAAGGAATAATATCCTGAAGTTATGCGCCGCTTGTGATAAGAACGGCATTTTGGGACAATTGAGGAGATTAAAACTGAATTACTGACAGAGCTCAAAGACATACCAAAAAGTGCATATCTGAACTGCTTCGGGGATTGGAAAAAACGCTGGTACGAGTGTATTATAGAAATAGAAATAGTTTTACTTATTACTAAAATTTTCACACATTACAAGAATAAATACATGAGAAAACTTAATGGACTAGTGAAAAAAGTAATGCGCTAAAAGCTAAACACATGTTTGATCTTGAACAAATTTAAAAATTACTACATGTATAAAAGAAACTGTCATTCATCTAAGCACTGAAAGCAAGAAATTCATCCATACTGTAGAAGCAGTTATCCAACAATAAACCATATACCTAGTTCATTCCTCATTACAGTTCTACTTTTATTGATCCCTATAAAAGTTGTTATTTTATTGAAGCATTCAATACCCAAGTATTTTGGGGAATTTTGGCTCACACTCAAGCGAGAGTAGGGATGATATATCTGAGGGGGACTACGTTAAAGAGGACAAAATAGAAATTGATGAACAAATAAATATTTTTTGAGAAAAACGAAAATTTACCTAGTATACTGAGTGCATTCATCAGTTTTCATTATCCATATAAGACACAAATTGTGTTAACTTATTTACTGAAATTGGAAGTTCAAATTGAACAGCCGTTTTTGCTTATACAAGGAGGGGGCACCTTCAGTGGTTCTCTTACCATTTAAAAATCCCCATGCAGAGCCTCAAGTTTGAATAGTCCTGTATAAATTACTCTTTCACCTGACACGTCATGCAGCATATGTTTCGAAAATCAGTAGCTGGTTTTGGGTTTATTGGTTGCGTAAGTTTTCAGACCTGACATTTCGTCTGCAACTGTGGCAGACATTAATTCTTGATGAGTATGTCTTCGTATTTTTTTTTCTCAATTCATGACCACCATTGAGATGTTTATAGCCTAATTTTAATTGCGCCATTTGTTTTGACATGTTATTATGTTGCAAGGGTTTTGTGACTTAACGTCGGGGCCTCAGACTTCCTACTCACCCAGGTCCCATCGCTGGTCTCTGTAAGGATCTCAATCTGCCTACTCTCAAGCGTCAACTGATGGTCCACCTGTTCTGGTCTGGTATTTATGTCCCAGAACGAGTGGAGTGAACTGTTCCCACCGGTAGTGGGAACAGTGGTGGAGTTGATAGTGGGAACGAAGTTCAAATAGTGAATCAGATCCAGCCTCAATCCTCTTCAAACATCATCGTGAGACAAGCCACACCATAAGCTTCAAGAACACCAAACCATCCACTTCACCATCGCTCCCACTACCGGTCCATCCCCCCCACCACTCGTCTAGGGACATAAATACCAAATCAGTACCAACTGAACCTTAAAAAAGGTTTGGTGGTGCAGCCAGGAAACGACTGAGTCGTCTCTTCAAGAGCAGGGTACCTTATAAAACCGCTTTGCACCAAATTCTTGAACGGCGTACGTATAATCTTCTCAGGTGGGGAAACAAACCCCCCATGAGCAGGTTAGCAAACGTTTGCGCTCAAGTGATGCTTCACTAAAACCAGTGACGAAAAAGCTCTGCATGGCTGAATCTAAGGCATCGTCAGGTGTAGCTGACATGTAAAAACCTTCATGTGTTGTGGGTGTCAAGGTGGGAGGGAATCTTGCAACTTGACTATCCGACTACCTGATTAACAGAGCATATACTTTGTGCCTGCCCCGCTGGGGACCGAATCAGGTCTTTGGAGTTCGGCAGAGCGGTACTCTCACCATGTGACCTGAAAGACCATTCACCATACAAACTAATCGGCTTCGTTAAGAATCTGGATTTATTTGGCTGAGTGTGAATAGGTGTGAGCCACAATAAACCCTTGCGGGTTGCGGTGGATGGTCGATAGATCAGATTCCCGACTGCCGAAACCTTTCCGAACACACACACAAAGCTGGAGTCATGATTGAATAGAACAAAATCTCTGCTTGTAAGCCGTGGTCGAATTGAACCTGAAGTACCAAGCGTACCGTCTGCTACTGCAGCAGATATCACTGATATGGGCACCCTGCTATCGCCCCCACTACCAACCCCGCCACCATCCCTTTCATCACCCCCCACGACCCTGTGAAATTATAAATACGAGTAAACATGAAGCTTGTCACTGAGTCATTGCTGAGACTTCGAGGTATAATCTACTTACTACTTATGTAAAAGACTAGCAGCAGGATGCCATGCAGAGAGAGTGGTCGCAAGAGAGTTAAATACTGCTATCACAAGATCATTTTATTTTGCACAAATTGAGTCCTATTTACATTATGGGATTTGTTTCTGAGGTAATTATGCACAATTCCGTTTCAATATGGTATTCTTTCTACAAAAAAGATCCATCAGGTAATTTATGCAAGGCTAGCTACAGGCATTCATGCCGCCCTTTATTCGTGAAGCAAAAAATTATGACTTCAGTATGTTTTTTTATTTAGGAAACAGTGTGTCTCGTCCACGAAAAATATAAAAATCAAGTTAATACCACCTCAACTTATAGTACACGTCAGTGTTACTTCATTTTCCTACCAACACCTACTCTACCCTTAAACAAAATTATATTATTTTCAATAGCAAGAAGTTGTTTAATTACCTTCTTATTAACTTGAGACGGATACATAATGAAAAGAAATTCAGAAAAAAGAAAAAGACTTCTTTGTTGTGAGACCCTGTTATAGTGTGGGCGAATTCTACCAAGGCTCTATAGAGTAATTGGCCCCTAGTAGTATTTTTGAGTAAACAAGTTATTGAAATCAAGACGAAATGTTCATACGTCAATATTCATGTACTTATATTTGTATCTGTTCAGCTGGGCTTAATATTATTCTATCCATATTCTCTGCTCTTATCTCTAAGCATTATTTTATAGCTTGTATTTTTTAATTTAATGCTCCATATACACGTATTACTTTATTAGACTTTACTTTATTAGTTCTAGTCGACTAAGGCTTTCCAGCTTAGATTTTTGTTCTCTTCAATGTTTATATATGTTTGGTATTTCAGTTGTACAGTTTCTCAACTTGGTTGACGAGCCACTAGTTTTTTTTTTAGATGAGCTTGTATTATTTCTTTCTTGCAGAATGTGCTCTGGTTATGGTTGATGGGGTCAGAGTATCCATTCCCAAGAAGATAATCAAAGCGGAATACTTGCAAACAGTCGAACAAAAAGATAAATCATCGACTGAAAACTCGGGGGCTAATAGTGTATGTCATGATAGCGGCATACCCACAGTTAACCCCAATTCTCCTGTTACATCGATTCTTGACCTACCACTGAATGCAGAAACAAATAACGACATGAATTCGCACTGTTCGGCAGCCGGTTCGTGCTTTTCGGATGTGAATAATGCCACAGATAAAAATGACAGGTTTTTTGTCTTTCCCGAGGACTGCCCAGGATTTGAAGTGTTGTATCCAAATTTGAACTCTATTGGTGAAATGACGGAGCATGAGTTGTTGGAAGCAGATAGAGGTATGCCTATTTTTTTTATTGAATGTATACAAGATTGAAGGATGTATATAACCAACATGAAAAAATAAAAACTGTAACCTTTGATCTACTCTGACGAATTTTGTCGAACTTATTTTGAATCTCACTTTTTTTTAAGAGGTGTGTGATGAGTTTTCAACACACACAATTCAATTTCTCAACTGTATCAGAGATTTGATTTTGAAAAGGTCAATTTTAATCACCCAAAGACTTATTTTTTGAGCACACAAGAATAAATTTTGAGGTAGGATTGATCTACAGAGTACTGTCATGCTTTGTATTGCATGACTTCCATTTTACTTATAATGGTTCATCATTGTGGCGTTATCTAAAAGATTTCCAATATTTTGTGGTAATGACATAATGTGTCATCTGCTTATAGAAATGCAGCTGAAGCTTTCACATTTTTAGACAAATCAGTCACATATAATATGAACAAGAATCCCAGAATAGGTCCTTGGGGGATACCCAAGTTAATATTTCTGGTAGGCAAGTAAAACTCTTTTATGAGAACATATATTTTGAATCTCAGAAAACCGCAAGGAATTCTTGTAGTCAGCAAGGATTTAGGCATATGCAGGGCTACACCTTCAATGACTTAACATTCCAATTCATTTAGGAGAATTTTACTGTAAAGCAAATCAAAGCCTCTTTATTAGATCAAAATATATACCAATTAATATTTTTCCTCTATCAGTCTGATCCATCTCAAAATCCAGTCTTTCCAGAAATTTGGAGAATACTTGTAACAATGAGATCTGCCTGTAGTTACTGATCATCTTTTTTTTTTACTTCTTCAATGGACCAAAATTGTTCCTCAAGACTTTTGATGATCTTATTTACAGACTCACTAACAAAAATCAACTTCCAAGGAGAAACTCATTTTCAGCATAGGAATCAGTTGCTCATTTAAATCGATTAGAGATGAGAGTCCTTTTGACTCACGCCAACTTTATTTTCAGGAATAAAACCAGAATTATCTTCTGAAGGTACCGAAAGACATCAAACTGTGATAATACCTCAGATTCAACCAATCACGGTTGGTCCCCCTCTCAATCTATCAACCCATGATAGAAATCCTTTCGAGTGTGCTGCACTAAATCAGATACCCGTAGAAGATGTACCACCCCAAAATGAAATTCCTCGGGAAGTCCTTCCCGAAGCAAATGTTGCTGAGAACCCACGTGCTTCTGAAGCTCACTTCACACCTGAATTGATGAGATCTCGAGATGAAGTTCATACTATTCACATTCTGCCGGAGACATTGGTAAGCGGAGCAGTCAATGTAGCTTCGACTGCATTCCACACTGCTAGATCTGTTATAAACAGAATTGTTCCTCAAGAGGTATGTATATAAAATATGGATTTTCATCAAGTATCGGCCAGTTTCTATTCAATTATTTTTGAATGATTGCATCAAAACTGTCCATTTTTGTAAAGAGTTCATTTTGAACTTTTCAATATCATTAACGGCAAATGCAGTTGTGCTGAACTCCTAGAAAAAATTTATCTACATGTTCAAAACCGCTCAACTCGACACCAAACATTTTATGTACCATTTTATCGTTTAAACCACACATTCAATAGCTGCATTCCAAGAATTTTACGATTATCCAATAATAACGTTGATCTTGAGATGTTTAACATCTCCTTGCATCATTTCAAAACTCAATAACGGAATTGATGGGTTTTTTTTGTCAATAACGGAATACTGTGCTTTAATGTTTTTGTGTATAGTTTGCACTTACAGTGCATTTCTTTAATGTTTCCCCCCTTTATTTTTTGAACGGATCAACTCAAAAAATTGAAATTTGGGATAATGAAATTAATGCATGAATACTTTATTAGGAAGTGAAATTGACAGATGAAAAAAAAATTAAATGGAAAGGGGGGGGTCTTGTGGCACATCTTTTTAAAGCTCCTGACAAATGTTTCACAACCCTAGAATATAATGTCAATATCTTCAACTACTACAAAATGGCGGCACTTTTAATAATTGCCTGAATACATTGGACACTTAACTACATAATATGAGGTAATAAGCTTGAGGTCAGTTTAGAAGATGTTCGAAATGGTTGCCTTGAACTTCTTGACATATGAACAGCCTATCCGATATTTCACCCTGAACATTTTCGAACATGGTAACGTCAATATCTCTACAAATATTTATTATTCTCTGCCGTATATCCAATATTGAAGCAGGTTCAGTTTCGTACACCTTTTGCTTCAAATAGCCTTATGAAAAAGTCCAAGGGTGTCAAATCTGGCGAGCGGGCTGGCCATTCTGTAGGACCTCGATGGCCAATGCAACAACCGGGAAAAGTAGTATCCAAATAGTTTCTTATTTGTCTGGAGTAATGTGGTGGTGCTCCATCTCATTGGAACAGTATCGGGTTGTTGGAATTGCCATATGGCAGATAAAAAGAAATATTTCTAGAAATATCGATATTGATGTGTTTGTTTTCAGGAAATTATGAAATGTTCCGCCATTTTGTAGTAAGTGAAGATATTGACTTCATATTCTAGGGTTGTGAAGTATCCGTCAGGAGATTCAAAATGATGTGTCACAAGACCCCCCTTTTCATTTATTTTTTTCCAGATGGCGCCCATTCGCCATCTTGAAAGTTTCATCTGTCAATTTCACTTCAAAATAAAGTATTCATGCATTAATTTCAT